GAAAGAGGTGATGGCTGGAAAGGGGGCGAAAGGAAAGAGGATTTGAAGATGAATCTGGATTCTGCCAGCAGAGTGTCAAGAAGATGTATTTTCCTGCCCTAAAGGCAATAACTTAGTAGTTCTCTAGTAGGAAAGCTTTATTAATCAGAAGTGCTGGTGTTAACACTGCTTATAAAATAAACTTGAGAACCAGCCTTTTCCCTTTGCAGTTTTGTCTTTCATATTATATAACAGATACTTTCAAAAAAAAGCACCCTGGGGCATCTTCTTGCAGTTTCTCTGCTCTTCCCAACTTCTTACTTCCCACTCAAGGAGCCTCAAATCAGTTGTTATGTGTTTCCAAGTACTATGGTTTGTGCAGCAAACATATTTCTCTGATTCCCTCCCAGATAAAACTATATGTCTTCTAAATTAGGAGTGTGATGTAGGGCTTTATGTTATTTGGTACAGGAATTTTTTTAATTTATTTTTTTTTTTAATGAGGAAAGTGGCCTCAGGAAGTCTTGCCTTATTCTTCAGAACATCTTTTCAGTTAAGCTGTACAGCTTCACCCAGACACAGGTTAAAAAGAGAGACAGTGCAGCAATGATATTAACTATGCATAACTTGTCTTCTTTTTATAACAAACATAACAGCAGCAATTGGCTTGTGTTTATAATCTCTAAGATGCTGGTGTGATATCCTGGCTGAGCAGGCTTGATGTTGATGTTTTTGCCATTAGCATTGCAGAAGAGAATGTTGGAGGGTAGTATACTTTTCCTTCATCTGTTAGTTTGTGTGTTAAGGGTAGTTGACTCAAACTTTTACATTTGATCTCTGTTTGGATGGCTGTGAAGGGAGAAGGGTGGGAAACTTCATGAATTGGTAAATGCTGGTACAAAAAGAGTTGACTGTGGTTTAAGGGCAGTTACGTTCCTTGTTGTAAATTAAGACACCTGCTGAATTTTAAAGGCTAAGACATAAATTGGAATATTAATTTTCTGCCCATGAACGGTCTTAACTTACAAGGATGTTTCTTTTTCTTTTCCTAATAGAAATACCCTGTGTCAAGAATCACCTACTGCTGTCAAGGTGCTTATGTTGCCATTCTCTGTGACTGGTAAGAATAAATAGAAAAATGGCTGAAATCATCACTGCTCCTGCAGAGGCACGAGCAGCTTTCCCTGCTGGCTGCCCTAACTTTCCTCCAGCCAGCAGTACTTGGTGCTGTGGCCCTCTGAGCATCCCAGGCGTGCCCGTGGCCTTGCAGGGAGCCTCCGAGTCCTTACGGTGCTTGGTGTGGGTGCGAGGGTTCCCCAGCTCAATGCAGGTTTGCCAAGTGGAAGCCTGTCCCCTCAGAGGACTTGCTCTTCACCAGAGCGAGGAGCCTTACCCGCCTCCCCGTCGCGCCTCCTGCACGGGGCTCCAGACGGGCCCTGGAGGGGAGCTCACGTCAGCCGAGGGCCGTGCCCGCGTCCCCCGGCTCGGGGGCTGCGCCGTGCTCTGCGCGGGGCTGTTGCTGCCAGCTCCACAGCCCACTGCTGCTCAGCAGTGCTCTCACTGTCCTGTCAGGGACTCGGGAGCATGTCAGGGTGTCCTGCCTGCCACACCGGGGGCCTGCCTGAGGGAGGTTAGGGAGCTCTGCACACAGAGCCCACATTCAGCTGAGAAGTGAGTGCTGATGGGAGATGAGTGCAGTGCCAGTGTTCTATTCTTCAGCCATGTCAAGTTTTCCTGTCCTCCTCGTTCCCTTCTCCCCTCACCAGCATGTAATTCCTTTCCTGTTTTATTTTGACTGGTGCTCAGCTATGTGTTCCTTCAAGTGAATCCCAGTAGGCCAATGTGCTATGATGCAATACTTACCTAATCCTTAGTAATCATTAAATTCCCCGTAGGACCTTCTCTTCTAAAGAAAAGGCATTGTTGACTGCTTTCTCTTTCATACAACACTTGAAAAGCTATTGGATGTGCTAAGTATTTACAGCTTTTGCCCTCAGATCATGTAAGCAAACTGCTCTTGAAGTGCTAAGGTATTTTTTGCAATTTCTAATAACTTTCCTTTGGCTCCGTTTGGAATTAGAGTGGGTGTGTGTAGTTTGCTGTACAATGATGGCTGTAGGTGGATTTGGTAATAATGGTAATTAAGTTTTTCCTCTCAAAAGTATTCCCACAGTCTACATCTTTCAGCTCGATTCCATTGCCAAGCAGCTAGTTTACAGACAACAAATCTCTTTGAAACATAAAATCTGGGACATTGCATTTGAGGAAATGGGAGACCTGTGGATTTTGGAGGAAGACAGTGAAGCTCCTCTTCAGTTGTATAGACCGTGTGATGGAGAGTGGAAGGTAGATACTTTTGTTATGGTAACATCATGAATGCTTTGTGTTGTCCTGAGGCTGTAACAAAAATGGAGTAAACTGTGTTCCATGGAATTTAAATGGCATGCTTCTCTATACCTTGAGACTGAGTAGAAGTCACAGATGAACATCCCATTCTACTTCTCTTACCTGTGTAAGAGGTTACAGCTTACCTCAGAGCTGCTGAGAGGTTGTTAGGAACCCCAGTCTCTTCTCTGCTCAAGCCAACACCTGGCATAGCGGGATCAAGCAGTGTGGCTCTCACCTCTTGTACTGAGTACTTCATTGCCTGTGTTTTTTGTGTGCTGCACTTGATTGTTTAAAAAACCTACAAAACAACAAAATCCCTTTGTGGTTTTCTGGGGAATACTTTCCACACAGCTTTCCCTGTGCCTGCCTCTGAGGGATCATTTGAGGGGCAAGGCGTTCTGGAAACACGAGGGGATTTTTTTTTCATTGAGGACCGTCAAAACCAGGGATGTGCTCTCAAGTTCTCTGTATTAGCCTGTGAAACAACTGAAAAACTCACTTTTTATCCATGTAAGTCCCCAGCTAATTATGGTATAGTTGTGAAGTGGTTTAAAATGAAACTTCTTTGACCCTTAGGTGTTCTTGTGATATTTCTTTCCCCTCACAGATTAGTAAGTGGGAATCCATTTTCTTTTCCTTCAATCTGCAAAGCTTCCTCAGCAGAACACATGACCTCGGGCCTGGTTTCTGTAGCAGTACTGGAAAAAAGGAACCTAAAAGACTTAGTGGCAGGCTTACACTTGCTCTCCGTTCACTGTACTCATCTCACAGCTCTAACGTTTTTTCAGTGTGCTGTGAAACGTGAGATTGTTTATTATTACCAAAATATGTTGCAATATTTCCTCTTTTCCCAGACTGTAACTGATGACAAAGGATTACAGAAGATGTCAAAATATCTTCAAGACAACTGTATGGTGTTTGAAGGTGAGAAATTTGGCCTAAAGGCCCAGGGAATGCAATTTTTACAGCTAAAGCATGAGATTTAGGAGCAAAATCTGAGTTTGGGTCAGTTCAGCTGTTCAGTGGTTGAAGTGATGAAATCTTTCAGTTTTCTCAGTTTCATTACTCCATCTGTTACGGACATGAGTGTAGAAGATGAAGTGCACATTAGTGTAGAAGATGAAGTGCATTTGGTTGCCATAACCACAAAATAATGCAGGTCTTTAGATCTGAATTAAAGCATTATAGCTGTTTTGTATGGACACCTTATCACAGGGATGTATCTAAACACCTTGTGGCAGAGCTGCTGGAGTCTTGTCTTACTGCTGTGGTCTCAAATACTGCTGTTTGTTGTCTCTTAACTGGGTGTGACACTAATCAGGAGTACAGTGTTGATAGTAACAATGGGATAGCTATGAGAGGAGCAGCTTCACTGTATAGATGGGCCATTTGGGTCCACCTTGGCAAAGGAGACTGTGGAGCTTGCTGTGGCTGGAGGGTGTGACCCTGGATGATATCATCAGGGATGAACTTGATTGGTATCAGGGTGTCTTCATTTTGGTTTTGATTTTTACCATACTTCCAATCTCTGGCAGAAAAAGAATACATGATTTATTATCTCAGAAACACCCTATGTTTTCAGGACTTTTTGTATTTAAAAAACAGCCGACTTTGTTTAAAAGCTGAAATTAGGGCAGTGATGGCTGCAGGAGAGAAAAGGGTTGTGTGGGCTAGTAGGTGTCTCATATTATGTATTGAGGGTTGATGAACTGAAATCTCTCTCCTGTACTTTGCTGGGAGACTGGGAACCTTCCTTCTTAAAAAGGTGTTACAGTCCCCATGGGTCTCTTGGTCTGTTCTTGGTGGTCATACCACCAAGGTGATTAACTCGCAGTAGGTGGCGGAGTTGCAGGAGTGTGCAGGCTGATGTAAAGTCTCTTTCATATCTAGTATTGGATGGTTTAGGCTGTGGCTGTCATTAAGATGCTGCAGTCTTTGATATCTAAGAAGTCAGGCACTCCTGTAGAAGGGACAGTGTTTGCATGTAGATGTTACAGACTTGATAGGTACAGCCAGGCAGATAATTAGGAGTGTGAGGTCTGAGTGAAAATGAGCAAGAGAGGAATAAAAAGAGCAGGCAAGAGAAGAGGTTCTGAGCATAATTAGCCAGTGTAGCAAATTACTGTGGTACATGGCAGCGGGCTGCATCTGCAGCTGGGCAAGGAGGACAGCTCAGATGACAGGGTCTATTAGTGCTAATTAGTAGCAGGAGGCTCACTTGATGAGCACTTATTGCAGTGCATAATTAGTGTTTCAAAAGGTAGTTCTTTTAAAAAAAAGGTAATCATTATGTTGTTTAAGCCCAGTCTTAATGCTTGCATTTGATCCTTTTATAAACTTGTTCCCCCTGATCGATGATTCTGTCGGATTTCAGATGCGTAGGTCGATCTCAAAGTACATGCTGAACAGTTTGACATCTTGTTCTGTCTTTTTCTGGGATCAATTACAACAAGATTTAGTGCAGACTAATCGAGTAGAGAGTAGCATGGATATTCAGACTGGCAGCACCCAGTTTCTCCCAGGGCAAAAGGCCAATAAATTGGTTACCATGTGAGTGCAAGACCCTCGAAATTAAAGGCATGAGTGGAGGACGGTTCATTTGTTTGTGTACCAAAAAATAAGAGGGTGGTCTATGTATTTTGATGTGGAGCAGCACAAGAGCTTTAGGACCAAACGCTAGCAAATACTGGATCTCCTTGCAGAGAAAATGTAACGGAACCACCAGGGTGAACATGTACAACTGTGTATGTGCAGTAGGACGTCACTGTTTGGAGTCTACTTCCTTGAGCTTCTTTTAAGTTAATACTTCGTGAGACAAGTCAGCTAAGCACAGTTAGGTAGTGTGTGCCCTTTGCAGGGCTTAAGCCTCGGGGAGCAGCTCCAGGGGGATGTCTAACAGTAAGTGGTGACAGCAGATGTTTTAAAACAGGAGCCTTCAAGTTTTGCAAGAGTCCATCATGTAGAGAGAACTGTGTGCCCTCTTTGTGTGAATGTTGTATCCTTGCCTCTGTGCAAAGGTTTTAGGCTAAAAATGGAGGCCACACTTGGCTGTGTGAGTGCAGGACAAGTGCTTACCAACACGGATCAGGCTTACACAGCCTAAATGCTGGTATTTCATAAAGTGGACAGGGCCACAGTAAATGAGTTGAAATGCCACTAATCTAGACCTACAGTACAGGAAGTAATTGGTGAGGCCACCAAGGGAATTAGCACTTGTCTTATGTTCTTGCGTTGCCCAATTGCAGGTTTTGTTGGCTCAGAGAGCTACTACAGCAGTCTCTACAAGGCTTCGTTTGATAACATGGCTGCCTACTTACAGAAGAAAGAGGAAAGGTTACAGCAGCAGAAAAAGAAAAGGCAGGATCTGCAGTGTGGCTCGAATGGACAAACAAAAAAGATCAAGACTGCAGAGTCATCGCTATGACACTGTTGTTCATTGCCTGAAAGGAGCTGATCTGATGGTGGACTGTTTTTAAATGTAAACTGAATTATGGGGGAAGAGGAGTTTAAACTTTTATTGTGATTCAGGTATCTGAAAAGATAGCTTGATACAAAAATGTCCTGCTTGCACCAGATAATGCATTTAAAATAGGCCCCAGCTTCTAGCAGCATACAGGCGTCAGTGGTTCAGTCCTAGGAATCTCTAGCTTGTGGTGTATGAATATTGGAGGTGGTATTTTCCTTCAAAGAGGTTTTTTTTCCCTGCCCTGTTCAGGCTCTCTTCTTCATGTGGGAGTGCACGCATTAAAGTTGATGTGATTTTTTGTTTGTTTGTTCGTTGCTTTTGGGTCGCTTGTTTTCTGGGTTTTTTTTGTTTTTTTTTAACTTTTTAAAAGGTCTGTTAGTTATTATAACTTTGTGTAGCTGGCTATGGGAAAGGGAGTGTAGCAAAAATTCTTGCTGAATATGAAAGGTTTTTAGCTGACACTTTGCCATCTCTGGTTTTACCTGTTCCTTTCAGTTTATATGGTAGGGATTCTGCCTAGCTTCTAATCCACTGCTTTGTGTTTGTGGCGTATTTCTGTAGAAGGAAATGCAAAAGTAGATTTAATACACCGGAAAGTAAAAGGCATCAGTCAACGTTGTGTTATTGGACACAAAGTGTATGTGCAAAACTTGGACTGCATTCTGCTTCTTTCAGCAAGAACTCTATTTCACGTTGCAGTTACCCAAGAAATACATCTTGAGAAGTTATCAGTAAGAGCCTTATGGGATCACTTGTTGCTTCATCATAGGACAAAAGGTATGCTTTCGTCTGCCAGATGGCACCATGTCTATATGGAATATAATGTACTTCATAAAACCAGGTGTAGAAATCTATACAGTCCATAAAAAAATATTCAGAATTAGCCCATGAACCATGAATAGTTCTCTGTCCTCCTTGGAGTATCTGCACACTTAGAAAAATTTGCACTCAAATTTGTTGCACTGATGTGCATGACATTGTTGACGTGAGTCGTCTTTTGATAATAGCAAGTCTGGAGCAGTGAAGCAGAACTTGCTGCTTTATGTCTAGTCAAAATTTAGTCTTGTCCTTGCTCTGTGTCCCAGACGCCATGAGACTCCCGTGGATTTTCATGTTCCTTCTGTTCAGAAGTGCCTCCTCACACGTAGACTGTTGCCCGCATCAGTACAGAGCCAGTCCGTCACCTCCAGGATCTGTTTTCTCTTGGTGGTTACTTCAAGCAAAGAATCTTCTGCCTTGGCAAAGGTCTCTTTGGATAAGATTTGTCAAGTATCAAGTGTGGTATTGTCTGTTCTAGTTAAAAGTCTCAATTCTGGTAGAAGCTGCATTGGCATGAATAAAATATGAAGGAGTTTTTACTACTGTCACATACCGTTTTTTTTTTGTGACCATTTCAGTTACATGACATATGAATGTAGTGTCATGTCCACAAAGATGATGGTCTTGTATAGCAATTCAGCACCCTCTGTCCAATATCCACATACCAGTGACCTGAAGCGTCATGTTTGAGTATCACCAAATCAATTGAGTGTTTTTGGATTACTCTGAGTCTTGGACAAAGGAAAAAGTGGTAGGTAGGTATGTTTGGGCTTGACTGGGAGTTTTACCCCCTTGGGTGCAATAACCCTTTTATTAGAGTCTGCTGAGATAAAGGGACCTGACTTTACACTGAAACAAATGCTTTTGAGTTGATAACATTTTTTATGTCTTTCAAGAACATGCCTGAGCCACCAGGCTGGCCTGGTGAATCTGGCAGCATGAGAATCTGCAGTGTGAGTCTGTATTGAATCACTTCTGCATATTACAAGGTAAATACAGTGTTTGAGGTGGCAGTGTGAGCTAAAGGCAGGTCTTTTTTGTGTCATTAAGCCCTTACTTTAGCCATGTCCTTTGAGATTGTGAGTGCTGGTCCCCAGAGCTGCTCTGATGCTCTTACCTGAGTATGGGAGAGATGCTGGAGGCTGTTGGCCTGTGGGGCTCTCCTCCAGGGGCTGAGAGGGCAGGTCACCCATTCTCTGACAATCCTGCTCATCACAGAGGTCTGCCCACCCCATACATTCCCTTTAACAGCTTTGATGTTGAGTGTTATGAACCCATGAACAAAACCATTTACTCACAGAGGAGGAAAATCAGTTCTGAGGATGACACAGGTAACCCAGTGGGTTGGTTGCTGATCCTATATGGGATTTTGGCATGAACGTTGGGTGTTGTTACACTCCTAAAGGGTAAGAGGCTGACATGTTGGCAGTACCTGTCCCCAAGGGGTGTTATTCCTCAGCTGTTCTCTTAGCACAGGGTAGAACTCAGCAGTGATCTTCACTGCCTGAGAGGTGCTCTTGTGATCTTCACCTTGCCTGCTGTCCTGGAAGAAACCCAAAGTTTCTTCCAACACTTGAACTCAGCAGATTGCAGCATGTGGGAATGCCATGAGATGTGATATCTGGCAGACAATTCAGGCCTCTTTTTTTTTTTTTTTCCCCTACTAGTTTTTCTTTCCTATTCCACTTCATGTTTCCTTTGTGTGCAGCATTTCTTGAGCATGAGTTATGAGGCCACATGTGTTTGTGGACTTCTTTGAAGGAGTGTGAAAAGTGATCAGAGAAAGGGCACTTGCTGGAAGGTCCAGATCCACTGTAGTATGCCTACACCTTGAAAACACACCCACAAGTCATTAAAAGAGTGGACACCACTGCTACAGAGAATAAGACAACGCTCCTCTCACTGGTATTTAAACTATTTCTAGTGGTTAAGCCTGGTATCACTTGCTTGTGTTTGTTTTCTGAACTTGAACTGAAGCACTTATGTATGCCTAGCAAAAAGAAGATGGGTCAGCTAAAGTGTAGTTTTACAGCAGAGATGGGAACCCTCAAACCATTGTGAGGGGTATTTCTAGACTTTTTTTGTGGTGGTGGTGCCACTTCCCTGTTTCTTTCCTGAGCACTGACAGTCCAAGGAGCCTTTAAAAATGCTGGTAAGGATAAAGTTGAAACAATGAGTTTCTTCTTCTCAACATTTTAAACCAAAACATGCTTCTACTCCCATTGCTGGGATTTCACTGAAACCTCTTTAGCAACACTTTGTTGAAACAGAGTGACCTTTCATCTGTCATAGCAGGAAGGAATCCTAATCAAGTGCAGCCCAGTAGCATGCTTTAGAACAGTCCTTACGTTTTTATCATAACTTCAAATGCAAGTCTATAAACAAAATATAAAATATTTATTTGATAAACAAAAATATTCCTTTGTTTAAACAACAACAAAAAATCCCAGTACAACTCAGTTGCTGCCAATTTCAAAACACTCCAAAATTTGCTTCAGCTTTCTTTGCTCTTTGCTGAAATAATCTGTATGAAGTGTTTTTATCTGAAAAAGGAAACCTCTACAGGCTTAACTTACAGATTGTCCCTACTACCATCAGTCCTGGTGATGTGGTGTGAACAAGGCCAGGATGACTCAACTAGTTATCACATTCAGAGTGTGGTAGTTTGCAAATGAGAAAAAACAGGCTGGACATAATTTGTCAATAGTTGTAGATGCAAAGGCTGGAAAGAAAAATGGCTAGAGAATTTAATGGCTTTAGAGGCAGACAGATCTCTATTTTTCAGTGTGTTTGCTCAAGTTACTGTGCACCTCTGAACATCTGGGTTCTGGAAAGTTCTGCAAAAACTACAATTAAAGGACTAGAACTAGCTCTTCTGCTTCTGAAGTGGGTCATTGCTTGATACTTCATATTAGCACTTTTTTTTTTTTTTTTTTCCCCAGTGACCTGCAAATCC